AGAAAAATACTTGCTAAGCGACCCCTTTACCCTCTCTGAGAGCTTGGTGAGTGAGTGGGAGGCTTTGTACACATCTTTCAGGGGTAGAAAAGGGCGCGCAGTAGTGGTAGCAGCAGCAGTGTCACTACTCGCTACGAGTCTGAGTCGTATTCTAATTTCTTGTACCTGCACACGCAAGAGTAGCAGTAGAAGTAGTAGTACTAACAGTAGTCGTAGTAGTAGTCGTTGTTGTCATCGTAGTAGTAGAAGTAGAAGTAAAGTAGAAGTAGAAGTAGTAGTAGAAGTAGAAGTAGAAGTAGAAGTAGAAGTAGAAGGTAGAAGTAGAAGTAGTAGTAGTAGTAGTAGTATTAGTATTAGTATTATAGTAGTAGTAGTAGTAGTAGTACTACTACTACTACTACTTCTTCTTCTTCGTGGCGCAAGAGTCCAAAGGCTCCTTTGCGTAGTCGGCAAGCGTGTCTCAGACGGCTCGGCTACTTTAAGTAGCTACCCAATTTTGGGCACCAGCATGTTGCAGCGAGCCCGTTCCGTAGAACCAAGCAGCTCGCTAAAATAAAAGGCAAGTCCTGGCCGACAGCCCTGCAACTTGCCCTCGCCTTTCGGCGGACTCATTATCAACTGCAAGGAAGGTAGCTACTGTGCGCAGCATTGCGTATCATCACATCCATTTACACATGTCTGAGCTCCAGCATATCTGTACACATTTGGAGACACTAATTCGGGCGGCATCCTGCACCAGTTCATTTCCTCAGAAGTGGACCTGGCATGTGGGATCTCGCAGTAGTATCTGAAAACTGCGACCACACACTCGGCATGGCATGGACATTTTCCTCCGGACGCAGAAAGATCACGGCCTTCTTCCGTCATACACCCGAAAGCCAAGGCGACGTAGCTCAGTCTTGTCCATAGGGCTGAGCATCTCTGAATTTCGCACATGGTATCCGATCAAGACTAAACGGTTCCCTTGCCAGCTTGAAGTAGCATGACGAACCCTGGGATTGAATGAAATGAAGGGTCTGGAAACTGGAACTAATCTGCCCAAGAAACCTTCCATCTCATGAGCGCCAGTGCTGTCTTCCAGCCACAGCTCCCCATTCTCAAAGTCCGAGGCCGGCACCAGGACGTTATGTATGTTGGAGGCGTTGTTTGAGTCACGATGTACTCCGGAACGTATGTTCAAGGAGATGCCTGCTGACGTGAACCATGCTGTGGGCGCCACACTTCTCAGCACAGCAGCTAACAAAGCAGTGACCTTCTCGAACCGCCTGGAGTTATTCATGACCCCTGCTGCAACACCATGAATGAAAGCTCCAGTCAAGAAGGAGCACGACCAATAATCTCCCTGCGTAGACCTCTGAAAGTTACGAGTACTTGACGGCAGGTGCTCGGTAAGGCACAGCAAGTCCTCCTCCCACAGCCAGCGATCCCTCAACGCCCGCAGGGCCAGGCACTCGCTCGCATTCTCAGGCTCCGGGCGCTCCAGTTGTAGCTCCTCCGAGACATGTAGGTTGAAGCCACGTCTAACAACTGGACTGGCCGCTGGAGATGGGGAGTAGCCCGCTAGGCTGTCTGCTGAGCCCGGCTCGATATTCTCCCCGTGCTCACTCGATTCTGAAGGAAACGTAGGCTCTGACACATCAATCGTCTCGGCTCCGGGCAAAGCTAAACCCAGTATGGAGGGTGCCTCCAGCCAAAGCAGTTCCGCCCACTCTTCTTCACCAACTCCTGGGGGCCTATCCATATGTGGCAGAAGCTGCATGACCCTAGCCCGTCTGTCTGGATCCATGTTGAGCAAAAAGGCCAAAGCGCTGCACGCAACCGGCATCAACTCCTGCATCTGACAACCAACTGAGCCAGCCCAGATAACACATGCCCGAGTCGCCCAAAGAGACCTTGAAAGAACCTCGGAGCGTTCAAGTAGCGTACGACTCTGAGAGTTTCCGCGACGCAAGTAACATGCGCTTTTCCTCGGCAATGTAGAGGTTGCATGCACGAATACGGCAGTACTACACTTCGGCAGACTGCAAGCGGCCCAAAAGCATTCTCGCATGGGGTGCAAGGAAAATCACCCAAGATGCTTCGAAATTTGCAAGGCCATATTTGAACGTGGCGCTCGGTCAGGTTTCAAAGAGCATCCGCACAGCTGCAAAGCGCTGTTCATGCAAAGGGCCCTCAAGTGCAACCCAAGCTTCATTGCGCTATCCGACGCCAAGCCAACCTGAAGAAGAAAGACAACGCTCTCCCCCGTCATAGCATCCGAGATCGGCCTCACCGGGTGAAATCTGCTCAAGGCATAGTCCCCCGTACAATGCCGTATCACAGCCTTCAAGTGGTCCACTAGCACGGCTGTCGGAAGCCCCGGGGAGGACTTCACTGGCAACAGCTTTTTCTGCTCACCATCCCAGGCCAAAGCAGGCCAGAAATTCAGATCCTCCGAGATCCATCCGCGAGCTTTAAACTCCGCCAGGGCCTTCTCGTCCGTCGGCAGTCGCTCTACCCTGCTGAGTATCTCCTGAAATAAACACAGGATGAGTGTGCAGCGCATCGGCTTGTCCAGCTTCTCCGGCTGGTTCTTCTTCATCTCTCTCCACCCGGCTTGAACTTTGTGCAAAGCTCCGACGATGCTTGCCTCGCAGCCTATTCTCGCGTGAACGACAAACGAGATTTCAGCTCGAAGCATATTTAGCGCGTCTTCGTGTCTCAGCGCCATTCGAGACAGAAGAGCCACTTGCTGTTCAAGCGCAGCAATACGGCCACCCGACTTTTGATCCCTGCTGCCTTGGCTCCATCCCCAGCTCTGCCAGCTGTCGTCCTTGTCGCCGTCCGGCTTGGGGTGGGTCTTGCTACTCGGCGCAGGCTTTCGATCATTGTAGTAGTAGTAGTAGTACTACTACTACTACTACTACTACTACGACGACGAGGCATTGTCGTCATCGCCGTCGCCGTCGCTGGAGCCATGGTTGTAGTATCACTGCTATAGCTGGTGCTGGTGCTGCTGCTGCTATTGCTGCTGCTATTGCTGCTGCTATTGCTGCTGCTATTGCTGCTGCTGCTGCTGCTGCTGCTGCTGCTGCTGCTATTGCTGCTGCTGGTGCTGCGGCGGCTGCTGCTGCTGCTGCTGCTACTAGTCCTTTTGCTGCTGCTGCTACTACTGCTACATCCACTATCAGTACCACCAGTACCACGCGACGTTCAAACAAATAGACATACTTCGTCGACAGCACAGGCCCACTTGGGCCTGTGTTCGGAACCCCACGCAAACCTCCAACCCATACTTGGCTGGAAAAATCTTCTCAATCAAGGCTTGGTGTGCGGCGGAAGGTGGGTACCATGACAGAAGCCACTGTGCTCAAATTGCTGGCAAGCAGCTGTGGGTTTGCACTACGCATTTGGAAGCTGCAGTCGTCCCACCTGGTCAGAAGATCAGCGCATAGTACTGCCCTGCACTGACAGGCTTGTCACACTAAGGGACCGAATGCTGGAAAACACACCGCCTGGCAATTGAGCCACCAGGAAATACATGTGCGCGAAGGACGTCTTTGAATCACATGCAATCCTTTGCAAATTTACAATGCCTACCTCACACAATATTAAAGCTGATGGCCAACCTTTCCTGGCTCTACAACTTCATGCCTGGCATGATCAGCGGCACCTGTGTACACCAGCCAAAGCGCATCGTCCAACTGCCTACAGGCACGCGACGATCTCAGGAAGCACAAGCAAACTCTCCTGCAGATCGTTCCCGCAGCCTCGGTCCCCAAGCTTGAGGTCTTTGCAAACCAGGTGGCACCTAGTCCCAAAATCAAGTTCAGGCAGCAAATACGGCACACTCAACAACAAAGCTTCCCAGAGTTAACAGCAGAGAACCCGAAAGCAAAGAGGGAACTGGGTAGGGTAAACCGGTAGCCCGGCCACGTAATTATTAGTACGATTTGCTTGGCTTGCCCATGAAATTGCGTCGGAATCATAGCAAACTTTTGAATGCCTGACGGGAACACAACTGAGTTGAACTATGGTTGTTGCACAGTTCTCGAATTGGATGTCTACAGAGTCCCTACACATGATTGGGTGACACCATGGCATGCTTTCCAGGCCATTGCATAAGTGCGTCAACGGCAGTATCATTGCATGCGGAAAAGTGCGCCTAGGGCAGCACTCTAGGAGGGATTGCGGACTTATGACCAGAGACAGCCCTTTACTGCAACCTGTGCTTGCCAACTTTTGGTGGTGAATCCTAATAGATTAAGGGGCGCAGCCCGCTTTTGAGGGGGAAGCGCTTAAATGTCTGCGGCTTGCGCAGCACTACCGACGAAGGAACGATTTCATCACAGCTACTCATTCAAGCTGTTTGGCAAGCGAGCCAAGGTTGGCCTTGCGCTTGCAATTGAGGTGTCGCGGCTTTAGGTTTTCAACATGGTTTTACGGCGCTGCCAACGGAAAACCAGCCATTCCAATTGGCAGCCAGCACCATCGATTGGGTAACGAACTGGCATCATGCTGGCAGCCTCATACGTCGCGTGAGTGGAGCCGCTTGCCCTGCAAAACAGCGAGAGAGCGTGCGAGGCAACTTTTCCGGCTCGGAGGTTTTCACCAAGCCGCCTCTGGCCCTGCATCTGGCAGGTTTCAAGGGAAGCGCATGGCAGAAGCCAGCGCTCCGCATGGTCCACAGCCCAGAAACCTGGAAAGCCGCTGAACACAGCGTTACAAACCTAGCATATCCTAGCGTTATTGGGTTTCTCCGTCCAAGCTGAGGCCTTTGTCCATTTGCTTGAAACGGGAGTGGCAGCCAGTGTGCTGAATACCTCACAGGGCTGGTGCAAAACTGCGAGAATCGGCATAGAGCCGCTGCGCCCCTGCAAGCCCGATTAAGAAGAGCAAGATCTTCCAAACTTGCACCCCTGCATGGCAAGAGGCAAGTCCAGTTTGTTTATCGTTCGTGCAATTTGTCAACTGCTGCTTGGAAGACGCAAGACGGAAGCTACAAACGCCTGCGTCTTCAACAATCGCAGCGTGTGAGGGTTAAATTGCGACTGCCGGAGAAGCCCGCCATCCTAGGTGGGGCTGGATAATGGCGAAGTTTGCAGCCCGTTTGATTGCAGCTTCCATTCGTCCAAAATCGTCCAAGTCACTGCGGAAGGTTGAAGGGCCCTGGCAGGTTGGCACCAGCCTGGCCACGTTGGGCTGCCCATTTGCCCCCCAGCAACAGCGGGCTCCACACCTCCGGCAACAGCGATAAGACCGCTCTCCTGTCTCCTGTACCATTGGCCCTGCAACTTTCTTTAGGAAGTTTTTCGCAGGATGAAGGGATTGGAGCCAGGAGATGGTCGGCACTGCCTGAAATTATCGCCACAAAGAGGAAAGGAAGGGCCCAGGATGCAGCAATATGGTCTTCCAATCCGCGGCTGGCGCTTGAGAGGGCAGGAGCAGCCTTCACGAAATGAGAAGGACCACAGGGCCTGGCACTTCACTTGATCCTCTTGCGCCTCCTAAATGATTCGGAGAACCTTTAGACGAAATGGCCACAAGAACTCTGCTTCTTTCTCACCACGCTTGCACTTTTCGATATGTGCCTCATGCAGCAATGTCCTGATGACGACCGTAATAGGCTTGAGAAACGGAAAAAGAGGAGGCGCTGAGAAAGATCACCCTGAAGCCGCTTGTCGTTTGTGCTCAAAATGTGTGTTCACCTTCTTGGCAATAGATCCTTCCTAGGTGAGAAAACATTTGGCAAGGGACACTCTGCCTGTCTCTCTCAGGATCAGACCTCTCTGCACAGCAGCGTGTCAGCAAAGATCAAGGGTGTACCAGATGCATGAAACCTGAGCATGCCACGCCTTGTTGGATTCCCGCAAGACAAGGCGCTCAAGTTGAGCAGTCCTACACTGATTGCCCGGCTGCTGCAGTGGTGCTGCTGCAGGTGCGTCGCGAACTGCATGCTCCATCACTAGCAGCCTCCAACGTTTTGAGCAACAACCGCCCCGCACGATGGCGGTAGCACAATGCGGTAGTGATCATCCCTCCTCGGCTTGTGCTCCGCCAGGGCCTCCCTGTTGCGTGCTACCTATGCCCCCAGTGACAAACTAGCTCCACCAATAGCACTGATAGCAACTGCCTCTTCATCGGTACCCAGATCGCAACTCAGAGCCAGCCTAGGTGCGACGAGGCGAACTCCTCCGTATTATTTTTCATCAGCTGACGAGTACTCTTTCCGACATCGCAGATGATCTCAGATCTGAGCTACTTGCACAGACCCCAAGCGAGCAGCGGCGAGGCAGCTTGCCACCCACAAGCAGTTGCGCTGCAAGAGGAGAGCAATCTGGCGCGGCACGGAGGGGCTGAAAGAAGCATCTGCTGCGGTGAGACATCTGACACAGCAGCTACGAGGGTCTGTTGCGTTGCTGTAAGACTCTATGCTGTGTTCACATAAGTCTGATCTGGGTCGCAAACCACAGGGGGCGTTTTGCCTGCGCACCAGCTTGCATGGCATGACATCGCCAAGAAGTCCCGGGAAGGTTTTCCAAATTCTTCCTAGCCAGGCTGTCCTACAGCCAACAGCTTTAAGAATTGCCCCAGCTGCATGCGCATAGCCTTCCGAGAGCTCCAAGAAGCCCTGTGCCAAGCGAAGCGATGCCTGGTCCACATTGGTCCACAAGAGAAAATTATGTCAACGGCATACACTTGAAGGACTGGCAGGAGAAGCTCAAAAGCTGAGAAGCTTTGTTCTGTCTGACTGAGCCTTGACACAACAAAAAGCTTCATGCATGATCCCGCCTCTTGAAGTTGCAAATACGACCAGGTGGTGCCAGAGTCGTCCTGAAAAGGTCGGACGTTCATTCACGTTGTCTGCACGGCTGTTAGAAGGCTGACTGGCTGGTAGATGTCCATTCCACAATCTGTGGAATCGAATTGCCAGCTGTGCTGAATGGAGCCGGCTAAGGGCTATGTGAGATGGAACGTCCTGCATCCCCAACCTGATCAACCCTTCGCGGGGTTTGTGCTGACTTCTTGAAAACACTGAAAGCATGTTGTTGAAGGTATTATGCACTGAGGTTGGTGAGCTTTGTTGCAGCAAAGGCTTTGGTTGGATTGCCGCTGGCAGGATATTTGCCAGGAACGATTGACTCAATGATGCGCTGCAAAGCCCCGTGTGGCCCATTGTGTTGTGCTCTCGTGTGAACAAAGAACATGCTGGGATCTGGTTTCCGCATCTGTCACTTACCCTGTTCCTGCACAGCACCTTCGCCTGCAATTCTGTGGTTGTTTTGGCGATGGAGCAGTACAAAAACAGCGGACTTCAGCTGGAGAATGTACTTCGCAGCTTCCCTTCTTGAAATGTATCTACCAAGTTGCATGCTAAGTTGCCTGGAGGCTTACAAGTTGCATACTGCTTCGGCAGCTATGCTGTCTGCTCCCACTTCCTACCGGCTCTACCCGTGCCTGCATTACCTTTCGATTACTTGACTGCTTGGCGGATGTTCTTACTGCTGGTTCAAGCTGCGCTGTGTTCGTGTGGGGGCCAGACCAAGCGTAAGAGTTCATCCCCTGAACAAAACCTGTGCGGCACACATCGCGAAGCAAGCTTTGTCAGGCAGCCAAAGAGCTGCCGGAATCGGGCAGAATATGAAGTGTCGACAACTAGAATAGCGTAACTCACCAAGATTCAAGATGTCGCCAAATCTGCGCATCTGTCTCCTCGACAGCCGGTCTGTCAGGATATCTCTTCGCCAGCTGGTCGAATGCCTGGGATTGCGCAAGGTTTCCACATTGACATGCAAGAGGCCTCCTTGCCCCAGCCTCGTCCAGTGCAATGCAGCCACGTCCTTCGAAAGTGACCCGCTCAGGCGGCTCCTGGCCACCAAACACAAAACAAAAAAAACATCCAAAAGCTAACAAATCTTGTTTTTTCCATGTCCATTTGTCTGCATGCGTGCTGCCATGCGGGCCCCATCGCTACGCAGTGGACCTCCATCTCTGTCATGGCAACGTCCATTGGAGCGCATTGGCGCTTTTTGACATTGTAGGCACTTCCCTCTGTGGCCTCAGCACTGAGATTTGGCTCTCATCTGCTCATCTGCCGGGCCTAAACATTGTCTGCTGGCTTGCATAAAACTCTCCTGTCTTTCAATCTGCCCTGAGCACGCTAACCTCAATTGCCATTCGTCGCTTCATCCGACAGAAGCAGCCCTGCCGGTCACGGTTCAGCAATGCAATGTCCCGACAGGTGAACATCAAACATAAAGCCACCATCTGCATTTTACAACCCAGCTTTTGGAGAAGACCAATGCGATAGCAGAGAAACTCTCCAAGCCAGCCTCTCGAGTTGGACAGGATCCTTGCAGCCCTCGATTGAGCGGTCCGCAGCATACAACTTATAATAACGATTTTGTTGTCTGTATGCAGTGGCCTGAACTTGACATTTCAAGGCTACCTTTTCTCGCAACATGTTCGCATTAGTTTTTGACTCACTCTGCATGCTCCTTTTGAAAAACTATCATGTCAGTGACACCGACAATGATGATCGCAACTTCTTGTGACTCCTCTTGCGATACAACACGATACCTGATTTGATCCATCAGACACCAGCACCATGCAATCCATGCAATGCACGCGGCCAAATCCCCGAGAGATACAAAGCTTTTCAGCCGGACCCGTGCTCCGACCCACCACACTGGCATCAGCCATGAATCTGCCTCTGTGGTCCAGTTCAGAAGCATGCAGCTGAAGCTATGCGTTCAAGGGTTCGACCTCGGTTCCCCTTCGGTTGCCCCCTCTGAGTGCAGCCTCGAGTTCACATGCATTTGATAAAGCTGACCTTCGGGTGTCAGCGAGGTACCGGACCCGCCGTGGCATGCATTTCTGGATCAAGACTCCAGTTGCGCTGATGATGCCTCCAAGCGCGTGGGCGAAGCCCAAGTTTGCAATGTACAATGACCAACATCTGGCAAACGCCCGCTGGTTCTTGGCGTACAACAACACACTGACCCTACCATCATTTCCTCAAAGCAAAATTGTTCTGCGTGTTCTTGACAGTTCTTCACCCTGAATCCCCACATAGGATGGCTGCACACAGGCGAGAAAGCTGCTTCAACATTGCTATTGCCGCCTCACTACGCTCTGAGATGAAGGTAGCAAGGCCTAAGGCGACGAAATCGCAGAAGACAGCAGCACGACTCTTGAAAATGTGATGTTGCGGTATTCCGGCACGACTATGAAAAATGTGGACGCTTCGTTGAGTACCTTGTCATCAGTCCGGACTGCATCAAGGGTGTTATTAAATTGCAGAAGCTGTGATTTGCACATAAACCAATCGAGATAGTATCCCAGCAGCAGCAGCAGCAGCAGCAGCAGCAAAAGCAGCGCCGCCACCGCCACCACCACCACCACCACCACCACCACCAGCAGCAGCACAGGCTAAAAACAAGTTACCTTGACTGAGGACAAAGAGCGCATGACATACGCGAGCTCTTTTCATTATCCTGCTTCCATGCCATTCGCATTAGCCTCACTCAGCATCTGGCAGGTTGCACGAACAGAGACCCATGAACTGAGCTGGCTAGACAGAGAGCTTGCACATACCGAGCAAATGTCTCTGTCTGGTACACAGCAGTTCTTTGGGCAAAACATGCGGGATGAAGATGTAGCACCGGTGAGTCCAGCTTGAGTCAGGCATGCAAGTGCACATGCTCTTTACTGTAAACCCCAATATGGCAGTGGACCGGAAGAAGCCCCAGCAGAAGCTTCTGACTTCGTGCTGAAATAATCGACGCACCTGCATGGCTGAATACGAGTACCAGACGTCTCGCTGGCGCTAGGACTGTGGTGCTTATCCAGGTGCTGATGTGGTTGCTAGCCAGGCAGCGTGCGGGCTTCAAATACAAACGCTGCAGAACCCCACTCTCAAGGCTTCAACACGTTGCACTCCCATCTGTGCCTGGCGAATTGGAGTCCATACTCTCAACAACACCTCCGCTTTCTGAAACCTCATGGGCAGCTGGTCACTGCAAACAGAACTTGCAGCAGCACATGCTATCATGCATGCATGGCAACAAAGTAGTGAACGAGTGAGTGAGTGAGTCGGGTTCAACAGCAAGTACATCATCAGCGGGTGGCTAGCACAACGTTTCAATGTTACCGGCAAGCCGAGCAGATTGCGCCAACCAAGAAACCCGAGGCCTATCATTGGAAACGTCACTGCACAACGCTTAAGCCAAAACGTGCGACGGAGGTCGCAGGAGCCTTGCACATCTCCTGGATATATCTGAGGACAGTCAGCATCACCGCGGGCGGTTTCTCACCCTGTCGGATCCTCTACCGGCCTGCGGTACCCACAACAGACCCAGGACGAATCCCCAAGAGGAGCCCATGGTCAACGATTATTCTTTAGGCCCAGCTGTAAACAATCGGATAGGGAGCTCTGCCTTCCCAAACTTTTCTGAGGTGTCTAGCGTGACCAGGCTGACCGCAGAATCTGAGGTTCTGGCCAGCAGCCTCCCGGCTGCAACTTCTGCCGCATCGGGCGCTGCAGAAAAGAAGGCACCCAATCTCCCGGATGCAACCTGGCAAACTGCACAGCCAGCACAGCATGTCGCTGGACGACTTGAAGTTCATAAATTCAGGTGCATGCCCAGGCAAGACCCAGCGCTGCGCTCGGGAAGATCTGACAGAGAAAATCAAAGTTGTTCGACAAGCAGTACACGCGCATGATCCATGGGCGTGGCTCGAACGCCAGCAGTTCGGGGCGGCCCAGCAAAGTAGAGCCCACGCAGGTTTGGCCATGATTGCCTTCCCCCAACACAGTTCTTTGCTGGACAAAGCAACCCTGAGCAACCAGCAAAGACGGAAAAGGCGAGGCCTCGGATCCTGCGAGGCCTCCGTTCCTGCAGTGAAGTTGTTCCAAACTCAGCGCTGTTGAAGCTCTTGCTAAGATTCACCCAGGTGTGCCTCCTGTTAGAAGGCATGATTGGAATGGGACTTGTTAATGATGATACAGAAAGCTTTTCGGCGGACATTGTTGGTAGTTATGCATGGTTTCTGCATGCCCGTTCTGCTCCCTTCAGCTCCATTCCGAGCTCTATGTCTCGAGTGCTGCTCCGCTGTCCACTTCTCTCCATGCCGCGTTCAGGGACCCTCCTTCAACCCTCTGTGGGTGTGCTTAGGGTGCGGGTGGGATTTGCAAGACTGGTATGCGTCCTTCATAAGAGTTGTCCCGCTTCCCTCCTGTGGGTGCGGATGGGCGGAGGGTGGGGGGGGGATAAGAAAATTCAGGAAAATATGTAGGGCTTTGTAGAGTAGGTTCTCTCTCTAGTCACACATGTAACAGGATCATCTACAAAAAGTTACAGCTGTGTACGTATCTATAACATTAGGAGCTCACTCTTCATGGAAGACTTGCAAATGCAAGCAACGCCAACCACAGTCCAACCACAGTCACAGGATCGCGCCCCAGACAGCCGCTTGCAACTTTGAGATCATGCAGACAGGGTCAGTCGCCCAGGCACCTCATCCTATGACTGTGGGATTTTCGAGATTTTGAGATCGCCGAGCTCTGGAAACAGCGACAGTCATGGAGATTCCGTCCTCACCCATACCATGTGGGGCCAGGAACGAAAGACGTCTGACCTCATCCGTAGGGGCTCCTTGTCAGGCTCGCCATCAACGGCAAAAGGATGCCGAAAGATTCGAAATTAAGTTTGTCTAGAGGATTCCACATAACACACTCCATTTTGAGCTAAATCGGAATCTCAGGACAGCTGTAAAGAGGAAAGTCTGCAACTGATTGCAACATCCAAGTCCTGCAAAAAAACTGTATGTGGAACTTGCAGAGCTTCAAATTGCGTGGGCATGTTCATATTGGCAAACATGCAGAAATAAGACAAAATCTTTTGAAGAAATCACCACGGCCCGTAAACTAGTCCCAGCTCCTCCTCCTCCACCTACTGCTACTGCTGCTGCTGCTG